TCCTTCATACATTCAGAAGCTTTTGAGTCATGCAGGGACTCCGAACTGTAGATCCACTCTCCCAAAGCCCATTCCCCACGTAAAGTTGCAACCTTTACGTATAGCTAAGGAGATCTAGGCTAAACACACCACAAACTAGGGTTTAAGATAACCATGCATCACCTACACTCTCAAGGCTGATACTTTATGACTCTCTAGGCCAAGACACAACTGGAGCTGAAGGGATTCAGCTTGAGAACGTCCAAACCCGAAAAGTATCATACTTGGTCCAAAATCTCATAAATAGGGACATGAAATGATCCAACAATTAACAAGGCAAGGAAGGAACTTGATTACCAAAAGGAGAAGCTAAAGAGATGAATCTTCTGGATCCACAACCTTCCTCTTGAACCCTTAACTCCTTCTTCTCCTTCTAGGCTTCAAGAACACTCCAACTCTTCAAAAATGGCTCACACACTCAAGGACAGCACTAGGGTTTCGTGGAATAGCTTCTGGACAATGAGGGCTACACATGAGGCTGATAGAAGGAGATTGAGATGCTTAAATAGGGTACAAGTCCCAGAATTAGGGCTTTCTCAACCCAGACCAGACTCGTCGAGTCGGTTACTTAAGCCGCGACACGGATCATGCTCCGACTCGTCGAGTTCCTCCCTGGACTCGACGAGTTGACCCTTTGACTTAGGGTTTTCTTTCCTTTCTTGGCCTTTCTAATTTTGGGTGTTACATGTAGTCCTCTTTCTTTTATATGTTTTTAGGCTCAAGAAAAAGCTTATTTGGTTTGGTTTTGGCTGAGTTATGTAGCTCCAAACAGTGGCTGTTAGAAGTTTTGTACAATATTTCAGATTTTTTTTTTTAGTTTTTTTGTCAAACTTTTGAAACCTTATAAAATCTTCATACAAGCTCGGAATAAGGTGAAATTTTTTCTCGATTGTAGTCCTCTGTGTTGTCTATGTATTAGACTCAAGAAATCGCTTATTTGGTTTGGTTTTGGCTGAGTTATGCAACTCCAAACAGTGGCTGTTAGGATTTTTGTAATATATTTAAACATTTTGTTTTTTAACTTTTTTGTCCCAACTCTTCCTTGTTTGTATATATGTAGATGACACAAACACCTATGCATCAACGGATTGTACGAAATAGATAAAATGTATGAGTTTGCTATGAATCGTTTAGAAAAAGCTAGAATATTATGGCAAAAATACTTAATGAGTTACCATAATGGACGTGATAGTATTCATGATATGGTTTATAAAAGTGATAAAACAAGTGTGGTTAACATAAGAATGAATAGAAATGCATTTACAAGACTATGTGACATGTTGAACAAAGAGGAGGGTTGAAAAATAGCAAAAACATGTTAGTTGATGAGCAAGTTACTATGTTCTTACATGTAATTGCACATAATGAAAAAAAATAGGATTATAGTAGAAAGATTCAAACGGTCAGGTGAAAATCTAAGTCGATACTTCAAGTTAGTCTTAGATGCGGTATGTCGATTACATAAAGAGTTCTACAAGAAACCCATGCCAATACCCGATGATGAAACCGACGAGAGGTGGAGGTGGTTTAAGGTTAGTAATTAATTAATATAAATTTATTTAATTCCAATATTAATAAAAAAATTGTTTTATGAACATGGTTTCTTAGGAGCATTAGATGGAACATATATCAAAGTTAAAGTCCTTGCAACGAACAGAAAACCTTATTGAACACGCAAGGGTGAGATTTGTACTAATGTACTGGGAGTGTGTTCAAGAGATCTTCAATTTATATATGTACTAGCGGGATGGGAGGGTTCCGCAGCAGATAGTCGAGTACTCCGTGATGCTATTAGTAGACCATGTGATCTTAAAATACCTCATGGTATGATATACATAAAACTAAAGTTACATATATTATTATCGATACAGTCTAACTAAATATGTAGAATCTATTGTAGGAACATAATACCTTTGTGATGCGGGTTATACATTTGGTGAAGGTTTTTTAACACCTTATCGTGGACAAAGTTACCATCTTAATGATTGGTCTCGACCACCTACAAATGCTAAAGAGTTATATAACATGAGACACTCATCGACAAGGAACGTAATAGAACGATGTTTTGGATTGATCAAATCTAGATGGGCATTTACGTGATAATGCATATCATCCCTTAGAATCTATGCCACACATAATCATTGCATGTTACTTGATGCATAATTTCATACGTACAACCATGACCGAAGACCCCCTTGATCAAGAAATCCTTGTTAATCATACACAATTTGGAGATAAACATGACAACATTATTTCTACCGTAGAGACATCGCATGGATGGACTCACCATCGAGATCTTCTTGCTAATACTATGTTTACTGATTGGAGTGCAAGGCGTGCCAACAATTAATTTATTTCATGTTTTTATGTAAACTTCATTTTCTTTATGTGGTGTTAATATTATGTTTAATGATTGAACAACTCTATTATTATTTCATTATTTTTGTTGATATATTATATTTATTATGTGGTGTGATAATATTTCTTTAGTTTGAATCTATTTGTAACTTTAATAAAAAAAAATGTTGTTAAAAAAGAAATAAACAAGGTAATAAAATATTTCTATTTCACTGCATAATACAACCAAACAAGAGAAATGATTTTCAACAACATTTCTCTAGTGGATTCTCAGTTCTACCAAACAGTGTAATCAATTCTCTTTCGTTAGCTTAATTCTCTTTCTCTCTGTATTTTCATTCTCTGCTGGAATTCTATTTCTCTGTACCAAACGCAACCTAAGTGAATGAGTATAAAAAAAATTAGATTGGGCTTATCGAAATCATACCACTTCTAATATTTAGACAAAATTGCAAAAATGGTCCCTGTGTTTGTCAAAATTATGTAGTTTTGGTCCAAAAATGTTTGGTGGTGCAATAACGGTCCAATTTTAGATACCTTGTGTGGTTTTGGTCCCTATGGTTATTATTTTGTTGTGATTTTGGTCCATGCCCTACCTAAAATGATGATTATGCCCTTAACTGACTCTTTTTTTAATTTTTTTAATTGATTTCTTATTTCCTTAATTAAAAAAAACAAAAAACACAACCCACCCTACCCATCTCTCCCATCTCTCTCTCTCTCTCTCTCTCTCTCTCTCTGTGTGGTAAAGACCCATCACCGCGCAATCGACCTCAACCCACCACCTCCACCATCCTGCCACCATCATTGACCACCGCCACCTCAAACACTTCAATCAACCATCGCAACCACATCTCATCCATAAAAGTCCCAACTTTCACTTAGCATTTGATTCTATTCCCGCCATATCAAGTCAAGGAAATAATTGATCTCGGTATTTCATTGTTTCCTAGATCCCTAATTAATCCAACTCATTTATTCACCAAATCTTTTGGAGGTTGATTTATATATCTCGCAGTTCTAGGTTCTTCTTCTTTTGTTCTTTCATTGTGTTTACATGGAGAAGGATTTTGTAAACTTTAGGAAATTAACACAGGATTTAGGAAGAGCAGAGAGGGTTTTTGTGAAATACGATTGTTTGACTGTATTTTAATAAGTTTTTGCTCATCAACCATGGAGATGTACTGGTAGCAACTCCTAGAATTGAGATTATTGATCACATGGAAACCCCTTCATTGCCTCCATGGATTAGTGAAGATAAGATACAAGCGTATATGTATAGTTCTCTCATATACCATTTTGAATGGTTGCCTTGAACAAGAATGGGAAAGAAAAGTCCCATGTGAACAGGAACAAATTAGATTTACATCAGAAAAAATTGATGTTCCTTCCGGTGAATTAATAATCTGAAATCAATGAAACTAGGAAAAAATGATGATGTCTGTGTGAAGTTCTAAGATTGGGGGTAATCAAAAGATGATTGTGACGATATCTTCATTTTTCATATATCAAAGCTACCACCGCCACCGTCAGAAGCCTTAACCCTAGTGCCGAACTGGAAAATTCCTCTTATTTAAAACCCTAGAACCTGCCATCGTCTGGTGATTTCTAGGTAGAGATCGAGGTGGTGGTGGAATGTGGTGGCATTCAGAAAAATCCTAGCATCAATCTAGAAAACTCCTCCACAGATGTGTGTTGTTCTTGAATATGTATGTTCATAAGTGTGTGTATTGAAGAAGCCAAGAAAATATGATGTGGGTATATGTTTTTAGAATAGCCCATAAAATCTGATGTGTGTATGTGTTTATGAAGATACACATGTTCTTCACTATTTGTTTATGTTTATATGATGTTCTTGAATTCCTGAAAGACAAACCCAGATGGGGGTGGGTGGGTGAGATTTTTTTAATTAATTAAAAATATTAAAATAAATATAGAAAAAAAAAACAAATATGAGGGTATAATAGTCTTTTTAAGTTGATAGGGACCAAAATCACTAAAAAATCCAATTTTGAACCATTAGTGCACCACCAAAACTTTTTAGATCAAAACCACATAATTTTGTCAACCACAAAGATCATTTTTGCAATTTTGTCTAATATTTATTTCTATTCTCTCTCTTTAGATATTACTTTCATTAAATTATTTAATTTTGTTAATACAGAAAACATACATGAGAAACAAGTCGCCGCATTAAGTCAACTCAAAAAAATATTGGTCAATTGTTTCTCGAGGCGATATTCCGACAACCCTACTAGGTTACCAGCCTACTACTACAGTCTACAACCCAATTTTGTTGACCAATTTGTTAAATGAAAATATATATATATATATATATATATATATATATATATATATATATATATATATATATATATATATATATATATATATATACTTTTAATTACTTATTTAGTATTGTTTCAAAGAAAAATATGTTTTGAAAATGTTGGATCAAGTTTTCTGGGGCAAAAGAAATATAAAACTATTTTCATTCCACCGTCAAATAAGCTTTAGTTGCATCCATTAGTAAGAGTATGAATTTGTATAATGCATTAACACTTAAAAAATACGAAATTTCTATTCAATTTTCTGAATTGCATATCACCTAATTAAAGCATCAATATTCTTTAAAATACCATGCAAAACCCTAGTTTCTAACTAGCTAGCTAACGTGAGAGAAAGTGTGACATTGATATCATCATGGTCTTTCTGAGGATGCATCTTCGATCTTGATTCCATATAAGTATCCATCTTCTCATCACAAGTGCAATAACCACCATCCTCATCATGCAACACATTCTTGATCAAACACCATAAACATGAAATTAATTAATTAATCTCGAGTTAATTAATAACATATAATAAGAAACGAGATCCAAGAAATTAAAAGAATAAATTAATAAAGATTAGCAGCACACACCTTCTTATAAATCGTCCCATCTTCTTCAACATGCCAACCAGCTTCTTCACAAACTGCTTTCAGTAAATCAATGGTGTCAGCGTTCTTTGAGAGTTGATAGTTTCCGAAAGTCCGAAGCCCAGAAAAGATTTTCCGAGCAACATTTCGCCGGTTTCTCTCCCGTTCACGGTTCTTCAGCCTCTCCTTGTCGGAGGGAAACCGGTATCTGGTGATGACACGGCCGTCTTTGGTGGTCCGCTGAACCACCCATGGTCCTTTTCCCGACTTGATGCACCCTTTCACCACCCTTTTCTCCGCCGTCTTCTGATGATCTCCACCCATTTTTGGCATCTTATCTTCTATCGGCTGATTTCGTATTTATAGTAACTTGAAGAACAACATGAGACAAAAAGAACATCTGAAAAGGTAGAGGAGAACACTGAAGATGCATGATTTTATTCCTTGTAGTACAAGATATTATTCCGTTATCCTTTGCATGTGTTTGAATTGATTAGCCATGAATTGGGTAATAATGCTTTAGTTGCATGTACTTTGTGGAGTGAGTGTTGTACTTTCATTATTTTGCATTTGGAAAAAGATGAAACCCTGATAATATTCTCTTTTGGCAGCCTTTTTGGTCGTAACTATATTAATTTTGTTTTTCATTTTAGTCATTCTTTTATGTAAAAACAACATTAGCTTTCTGTTTGTTTTAAAGCCAACCATACCTTATTCCCATTGTATAAGTTAATTGTGTTAGTGGTAGTTATACTAAATTTTTCAACAATATTCATTTGCTAATTTAAGGACATTCGACTTAAATAGTCAAATTACTTGCAATGTCTTGTTATATCCAACATGAAATTTGAACATTTAAAGTAAAAAACAAAAGCCTACATAACTAACACTATTAGAAACTTGGCTTTCAGCTAGGGATTCAGAGAAGGTTTTATTCTGTAGCAAATTTTAAGCCTTATAGCGAGCAAATTACGAGAGATATGCAATGGTTTAAAAGATTATTTTATTTATTCAACATAATGCATATTAGAGAGGGTTTAGCGAGGGATCAACTACGGATCTCGCAACTATTTATCAACGCATTCTTATTCCTCGGCAATCGGTTGAAAACGAAGGCATTTGGCGAGGGTTCAACGAGGGATAAAAAAAAGTGTCGACTTTTTCCATCTGGTACGTGTTTATTGAGGAATTGCCGACGGAGGGTATGCGCGTTATGTTTTTTTAATTGACGATCTCTCGCTGAAATTAGCGCTATCCAATTCCAGTTTCACGAAGTTTATGTAAGTTTCCTTCTCTCCCAAATCTGTTTTATCACTCCAATTGAGCACACATGATTCTCGAGTTGCAGCTTAACCTAATCTCACCTTCTCCGTTCAAACAGATGACGACACCACTGACCAATGCAGCTTCCGATTCCGGCAGCCTCCACATTTTTTAAAATCTAAAATTATTCTTCGTTAACTTCCGATTCAGGTAAATCTCTTGATTTTATTTGCTTTAGTCGTATATTAGGTTAGGTTTACATTAGGGCTTAATTTCTCCATTTTTTTCCTTTTTCAATCGTCATTCCTCTTATATCTCAGCATTATATATACATGAATCACCTTGAAGCTTTCTGGTTATTGTGTATCATAGACATATGGAATGCCTTCTTCTTTATCAACAAATTAATTTCAGGTCTACCATCGATTGCATCTATATAAGAATAGACACTTAGAATTAGAACTTGATTTAGGGATTGATTGGTTAATTATTGTTTAAAAGCTATAAATTGGTTAGTTGTTGTTGATCCATGAGTTCTTATAGGTCTAGCGCACACGAATTTTATGGAAAAGTAAGTAGAAGGGAATTAAAACGCCGATAAAGAACATATAGTGGTTTAGAGAATAGCTTACCTAAAATGACACCTAATTTGCTCCCCTTAAGTTTACTCATGTTGTTCTTGTCAATTGGAAAGCCTGCTTTGAAGTACACAACTTTGAACATAAACGTCTTGAATATAGTCTCATCTCCTATTTCTATGAACAAACACCTTTATAAGAATAGAAATTGTTTTTGTATTTCTTTTGGTGAATTCACTTAAGGTTCATTAGACTATATTTGTATTTTTATCTAACTCACAGCCTTGCTAGTTGAATTTAACAGGTTAATTGAGAATTAGATGATAGTTTGAAACAAAAAGATAGGGCATACCTAATAATAAAGGCCAATTGTAGAGAAAAGAAATGTATTTGAGACAAAATGTTGTGCAAGTTATACGTTTATAATCATATAAGGGACCCACCAAATCCTAATCACTTCAAAAAGAAATTGACTTATTTAAATTATCTATTTGGATCATCTGTAAAAAACTTGTTTATAATTGAGATTTCAGATGATGCCTTTTAGGTTATGCTTGTTTTAAAAGTCTAAACTTGTAGCATATTACTTTGGTTTTATGTGTATAATATATCACAGAAAATGTAAGTTTGTTACTATATATGTCTATTTACTGTCTCTAGGTTGTCAACATTTTGATTTTACCTGATGCATCATCATATGAACAAACACCTTTATTACTATTTATATATTATTGTGCACTGAAGGTTCATTTTCTATGATAATATACCTATTTTTGTGTATCTTTTGGTGAATTCACTTAAGTAACAAGCTTCTATGTGAGGGAATTCAACATAAAACGGTGCAAACTCTAAGTGCTTATATTACCAGGCTTATTAGGAGTCACTTTCTTCAACTTCTCTGTCTAATCTATGAGTTACAGGAAACTGGGTTTGCTTTTCTGTTTTCTGACCGTTTTACCCTTGGACACCAATGCGTGGATCTTTGTTGTGTTTAGGTCAGGTCATAGTTTGTCAATACTATCTTTACATATGTTATTAATCGGTTCGGTTATTTTGGTTATAAAAAATAATCAGTAAAATGAAAAGTCTTAGAGTTAGTGATGTGGGATGACAAAAGTCAGGAACAAAAAGTCTTACTGTTCAGCTATGTGCAGGTGTTTTGTACTAGATAGTTGATACAGAAAGAACAGACTTTCTCCATTTATGTCCCAATTTTTTTTACAAAATCATTTTTTAAAGAATTCATACTCTCTAACTTTTTTTTTTTTTTTTACATATTTGACATTTCATTGTGAAGAAAATTCAAGGTAAAAAGAAGTCTAAGATGTTTAAACAATTCGGGTAAATACCTGTGATTTCTCAGTTTTCTGCACAAGACTATCCAATTTTTTTTCAAGCTCTTTAATTTCAAGTTGAAGATATTTTTGCTTAAGTAGAAACAAGTTCCCATTCAATCTTTCACCTTTCAGATTCTGCATCTTTCCATTTACCCACAAAATCCCCTTCATATTTTCAATCTGGTCCCTCATCTTCTCCAACTGTTTCAACTTTAGAATCATTTCCTCCAAAAAACTAACAACTTTTTCTTCAAAATAATCACAAAAATGCCATAAATCTATTTTCACTTTCAAAAACATATCTTCAAGAACCTGTTTCTCTACCCGTAATTTATCAGCTTCATCCACAACTTTCATGGCTGCTTTCTCATTTACTTCAAATGCAGAACCCATTTTTTGTGACAGCCTTTCTAAGTTCCTCTTGAAGCCTTGCAGCCAAATTAACATTTTGCAACCTTATTTTTCTCAAATTTTCCTCTGCCCGAATCGCCCTGTTCTTGATTCACTAACTCTTCCTCAAGATTCTTGACATGGGTTTCAAGATCTTTAATCACAAGATTTGAGTTTGATTTGCCAAAATGTTTTAAAATGAATTCAGATGCAAAATTGACTTCATTTATTTTAATTACTAATTAGGATCTAAAAAGATGAACGTAACAATATGAGCTCATATCTTTTGATAAATAACACCTCAAATATTAGAAACTTCCCATTCACTTTTAATAAATAACAAACATAACCCATCAAAGCAAGAAAGGTCAAGCTTTATGGTCAAATACTCAACTGGACTCGACTCGACTATGTATGTACTTTTATATGGGAATCAAAGGAAGAAGATTGAGTTCTTGAAAGTCAGAGGCTTCCGAAAGAGGTAATTGAGGTTATATTATGCTATAAAATAAATAATTTCACATGTATAGCTGCATAATGTTGTTATATGATGCTATTGGTGTTTCAAAGGGATGATCGGTTGAGGTTAAGCCATTCGTCGTCTGTTTTCCCTCCATTTTCAGGTAAGATGCTACATTTATTTTGAAATTTAAACCATATTGAATTGTATTTTAAAAAGGAGAAACAAGGAAAATTTTGTTGAATCCCCTTTTGAATATATGCATTTCATTACCTACAAATGTGAAACTAAGGTATGATTATGAAACAATATTTCCTTTTAATTTACCAGATGTGTATTATATTTTTTAACACACTGTTTTTATATAAATATATAATAGGTGGAGTTCAAGCAAGCTCTGGTCCCTAGTATGGTTTGTTGGAGAGAACACGTAGGCAAGCTCAACATCAGGCGGTTGAGGCATCTCTTATGAATTTGGCTGGTAAAAAATATTTGATGTTTTTGTCTTATAACAGTATAAAGAATTTATAGAAATGAATTCCTTCCACCCTTCCCCTAGTCCTTAGGATTCAAATGTAATCGAATTGCAACAAAACAAACAATGATAATGATTCTGACCCTTTTTAGGCAATGTTTTTGCAGATAAGTATTTGTCTTGTGCTAAGTCTGGTGGTGGTCTTTAGATTCTGATTTAGAGGGGCTGGGTCCTAAGAAAGGGTCGATTGCAGCACTTAATGAACTAGTAAGATCTTAATCAGTTAATGTATGTATATCTTACATTTTCTTTTCGATTATTTCAGTGTATAATGGAAGGTTTGGGCATGAGTTTCCAACCTCAACCACACGTTTCAAATAACATGGGCCAGACCAACAAGTTATATGCACATGTTGGTAATGTACTATTATTTTGTAGTTATTTTTGACACTTGACATGTTAATTAGTTTTAGTCAATGTCTCTTCAGGTTGAAATAGACGGGGAAGTGTGGGGTAAAGGAGTCGTGTTAACATGGGATGAAGATAAGATGCAGGTATCTCTTCTCACTTATTTCTTCACATCAATGATCAATGATCAATCCCAATCAAATGTTATTATTATTTTGAATTTTTCTCTCTCATGTTTTACTTTTATCAGGCTACTGAAAGTGCTTTTGTAAATTTGAAAGCAAGGATCAGGGAATACCCACCTCCTCAAAAACGACAACCTTCTACTAGGTAGGTGGTCACTTTAATCTTTCTTTATTAATAATCTAAAATGTTAATTTCAGGAATGAGAACCGAAGATGATTTGATGAACATGAAATGAAGAGAGCAGCTAAAATGTTATTTTGAAGTTATGTTTTGTGAAAACTCATTTCCTTTGGGAGTTTGATGTTATGTGGATAGTTTTGTTTTTGGATGATTTTTGAATAATGCTTTGGTAAACTTTGATAGTTTTGGTATTGTAATGTTTGGTTGTATCATTATTTGATGAATTTTTTTTGTATAATAATTTGATAATTGCAGTATTTTTTTATTTTAGAATCATAATAAAAAAACATGATATTACATGTTTGTGACGCATCGGTGAGGGAAAAAAAATAATGTATGAATTTTGCAAGGGATTAGCTATAGAAAAAAAAATTCAAGTCTAAAGTTTGCAATGGATCAGTGATGGAAAAAAAAAAAATTAACGTATGAATTTTGCGAGGGATTAGCTATGGAAAAAATCATGTCCAAAGTTTGTGACGGATTAGCGACGGAAAAAAGAAAAATTAATGTATAAATTTTGCAAGGGATTAGCTACGGAAAAAAAAAAAAAGGAAATTTGCCACAGAACAGCGACGGAAATTTTGTCGCCAATGTCCTGACTAAATGTATTGAGTGACTATTTGGCGATGGATATTCTGTCCCTAAATTTGTCGCAAGGGAAAATCGATCCGTCGCTAAAACACTCGCTAGGTTATTAGCCACATTTTAATTATCTATGGACTGTATCCGTCGCTGATCCATCGCAAACAACATTTAGTGACGGAATAGCGACGGATTCATCCGTCTCTAAAACCCATGTTTCTAGTAGTGTTATAATTTCAAGATTTAAATTTATGGAAAATTACACAAAAGCCACTATACTTTACCTTACTTTTAACTTTCACTACCCCCTTTCCAACGTTGACCATGTTACATGTAGCTTTGATTATGTAAAATTGCTTGTGTTATGTGCATAACATAACTGTAAAGGGCAGTAAAGGGATATCATCAAAATGATCACATTATTGATACATGTACAGTTGGATCACTGTAAATTACATAAACTATAAAGACTGTGAAGTACATACACATGTAGACACATTTTGAATCCAAATACTAAAAGCCAACCACATTGATATTGTCATGAAACACTAACACGTTTACATGTTTCACAAGTTGATGTTAGATACAAAAAAAGGCTATCAAAATCACCAAAAGGGACAATAAAAAAGTGACTCCATAGTGCATCTAGCATTGCCTGGATGAGTAGTAGGTTCTTTTATTCGAGTATATGTATTTAGGAGATCTAACCACAACCCAAAACATGAACTTCTAAATAGGGTTATACGAGCTTGAGAAGGAGACAACCTCTCCGCTTATTTCATCCATAAAGTACACCTTACTATTGTTGGTCAATAGGGTCTACTAATGATATTTTAGAAAATATAGCTAGAAAAGAAACATTTATGAAAATACAGATACGCATTCGCAAGATACATTTATACCCACGTGAATATTACCAAATACTTGCGATAAAAACATAATGTGAGAGTCCGCACCATTAACAAACTTGTTGCTTTTATTTTTTAAACGTCTTAAAAAACAATTTTAAAATGAGAAAAAAATGATTAGGGGCAATTTATTATTTCAAATTATAGGATTGATAACAAAAAGTTAACCTTTCTTAATAGATACTTTCAAAATATCAATAAATAAATAAATTGCTATAATAAAAAGAAGTCCATATGTCTCAACTCCTCCCGATTCTTTAACTTTTATAAATTAGGGAAAAAAAATTAATAAAAAAACTAAAAGTGAAAAATAAAAAACCCCAACCATGCCTTTCTTGCATCCATTCGCCGCTTTAGAATTGATGTCGGCCACTACCAAAGACTCCCACTCTCTGTTCGATGCTTTATCAATGGACTAAGGGGTTGTTTGCTTACCTCTTAATTGACAAATTAAGAGGCAAGGTCTTAAAAAATCAGATGTAGGTTGTTTGATAGCATCTTATTTTTTGTCTCTTAACTTAAAAAAATACGTCTTAATTTCTTAGATATGTGATTGTATCTGAAAAAAATATGGAGACGCGTCTCCTGTTTTGCCCAAAACGAATCCCTTCTATTTCACGACACAATCTCTTTTTCCCTCTCAACCATCATCGACGCCTCTTGTCTACCCCAAATATTTTGCATCTTCGATCACCTCTATCGTCGCCGTCGCCTGTGTCGCCTTCGTCTCCATCTCCAGTTGCATCGCCTGTAGATTTGCCCTTGATATTTCAACCCCACTTTCCCTCTTGTCTTTCAATACACACGACGATCCCTCACCCACTCCATCTCCGATCTAGAATTAGTCGGCTGTCTCTTCCGCCATCAGCAGGCCATCGCCTCCGCCAATACCACCATTGTCACCAGAAGCAAAGCCCTCTAGGTCCCTCATCAACAACACAACTCTTGGTAATTTTATTTTTCTTCGTAAAACTCAATTATTATGGTTCAATCCCAATCCCAAACAAGCATTCAAGCACAATGGTCGGTTTGCCTTTGATTGGTGTCGCTCTCTCCATCAAAAAATTTTGGCTTGATTTTGTCGATCCCACCCCTTATGATGTAGCCCCAGTTCATCAAAGTTATTGTTATTTGTTAGGTTATATTTAAATTTTGATCTGATGTGGTTTTCTTATTCAGATAAAGTCAAAAGGTTATAGCTTGGTGGTTGAGGAAGGAGATGTTGCCCCTGGTCATGTAATTGGTTTTGGAGGTGGATTTCATAGTTGTTGTTATTGTCTATTGTATGTTGCTGCAATTTTTTTGATTTAAAACATTTCATACTTGAAATATTCGTCTCAAGGGATAGCATTATACTTTTACCTCTTTATATTGAAAGTGCAATAGAAAAGCATGCTACTGATGGGCTTGGAACTATTGACTATAAGGTTGTTGTTGGAGGAGGAATGGTGGTGAACATGTTGCAAATGTTTTCTCTCTTAACTTGTTCTTTGGTTGTCATTTCCAATTAATGTGTTAATTTCATTTCTTGTTTGTCTAATTGTGTTTAATGTTTTGTGTCTAATTGTTTGAATTGAATTCTAAGTGAGTGGAATTACCCATATAACATTGACTAGTTACATCAATAATTTGTGCATTTTATGGTGTTTATGAACATAATGTGGTATACGACGAATATATGGCTCCAAAGAACTATAGAGCCTTTGGATGGTTGCATCCTAAAGAAGATGATTTTGCTAAGTGAGTTCTCATATGATCTTGAAAAAAAAAATGTACAAACTTTCAATGTTTAGGAGAAGGGGATATTCTTTGGATTTGTGTTTAATTTTGATTTATGCTAAATTTGGGTTTTATATGGTGTTTATAATTTTTTTTATACTTATTTAAGAAATTGATTAAGCTATTTTATAAATAAACACTTGAGTTCAATAAAAAAATAAAACAGAAGGGTAAAATTGTCATTTTACTAATTCAGCAAAACAATTTAGAGGTCTCAATCAAACAACATGTTAAACATTCAGCTCTTAAAATTCTAGATCCTCTTAGAAATTCAGATCTTACCAAACAGTCTCTAATAATCAACTAGTTTTCATTAAACCGTATGGGTTTTTTTAGTTATATTTCAGTTGTTTTTTTTAAAAAATAATAATAATAATTGGTAGTGTCCGAACAATTTTAATCGGTTGAATTAGTTGGTTCAATTTTTTTTAAATATACGATCCGATCCGACCCCACAATTGTTGTTGATTTTTTTTTATTGGTTTCATTTAATTTGCAAACCGTACATTCACCACTATCTTTACACTACTTTAATTTTAGTAATGGAAATGATAACGTATTCGAAAGCCACAACAACTTACCATGTTACACAAAAGGCTAAAACCTGCTCACAAATATAAAATCGAAGTATTATTAACACGAGCATGTTGTCAACCAATGATCCATAAGCCTAAAAATATGTTGATTTACGTTCGTTTTGGTGTGAAAGAGACAAAATACATAGGAAATGAAAGTTATAACCGAATATAAAGATCTAATATATGGTAATTTTAAATAATATCCAAAAAAAAAAAAAAAAACCTCTTACGTAGCAAAAAGAAATACATAGTTGAGTGGCTTCTTAGTTAACATAGAAATTGAGCGGAGATATTTCAATGGAAGAAGTCCTTTACATTGTAGCCGTTAAAATTAGTTGATAACAAAATCTGTATCTGGTTTCCGGTTGCTCTTCCCCCCTTCTAAGATTCTGCAAATTATGAGCAGCATCTGTCTCTTTCACCACAATCATCTTCTTATTCGTTCACGAAATTTTCAACATGATAATCGCTGTTTCAGAGTTCAATCATTCACACAAATCCCTGACTGTTCAATTCGATTTCGAAACCTACCCAAATCATCATCCAGGCAAAACCCTAGCACTTCATCCCCAGAACGCCCCGTAGAAAAACCCGGATTTAAATCCCAAATTGATTCAAATGATGACGACGAGAACTTGGATGAAGTCGCACCTTCTTCACCTTCCGGTTCGACTTCATCCGACCCATTCGCATCGTTGATTCAAAGTTTTAGGTAATATTTCTCCACATTTGTCTAACTTGCACCATCGATTTTAAATATCCGAGAATTCTAGTTGCAGTTTTACGCGAGTTGATTTAGGCAGTATCAAGTATGTGTGATTTAGTTGTTTTGGAGTGCAGAGATAAGCTTAAGTTAGATGAACTCGGAATGGAGATCATGTCGATTGCATTGCCAGCTGCATTAGCTCTTGCTGCTGATCCAATTACTTCACTCGTTGATACTGCATTTGTTGGTCATTTAGGTAAAAACTAAAAACTCATTCTCATTACAATGCATCTTATTAAGTTTCTTCAATTTCCAATGTTTTCTCCAAAACAATCATACAATTCTCATAGAAGCATCTGATGCATCTACTCACTCCTTCTTTTAGGCTCTGCTGAATTGGCTGCTGTTGGTGTTTCCATATCAATATTTAACCTGGTAGCAAAACTGTTTAATATTCCCCTACTCAATATTACAACCTCATTTGTTGCTGAAGAACAAGCAGTTTTAGTCAATGGTGATGATGATGATGATGATGATGATTCCACTTCTGTCAGCCATGGTGGAAGTAGGAAGAAGTTTCTTCCATCTGTTTCAACTTCTTTAGCCTTAGCTGCTGTTTTTGGGATTGGGGAAACCATAGCACTTTTCTTTGGGTCTGGATCACTATTGAACACCATGGGTATACCTGTTGTACGTCTTTTACATCTATTCATACACTTACTCATCATATTGTTTAAACCTTTTCATTGTAACTGATAAAGGGTATATTTGGTAAATCTTTTATTTCAGGATTCACCAATGAGAATACCAGCACAACAGTTTACTTCCATAAGGGCATTTGGAGCTCCAGCAATTGTATTAGCCTTAGCTGCTCAAGGAACTTTCCGTGGCTTTAAAGACACTAAAACTCCTCTATATGCTATTGGCAAGTATTACATCTTTCCAAAATTACATTTTCATTTACATATTAACATTATTAAATTATCACAGCTGCTGGAAATTTGGTAAATGCCATATTGGATCCAATTTTCATTTTCTTTTCCGGACTTGGAATTAGTGGAGCTGCATTCGCAACGGTAATTTCTGAGTATGTATCCTTTTTTTCACTTTTTTTTTTTTAAACTTTTCTTACATAATCCTTGAAAAAAAAATCCCCATTGTTGAATCTTGAACAGATATCTGATTGCTTTCATCCTTCTTTGGAAACTAAATCAAGAAGTCCAACTTGTTACTCCAAATGTAGATGGAGATAAAATTGCTCGATATTTAAAATCTGGTATTAAGTCAACAACAAAAAAAAAAAAAAAAAACTTTTCCATTTTCCATTATTCCATTTTCCATTTTCAATATATATATATATATAAAGAGCTTAATGGATTAAGTGATATGTGTTAGGGGGGCTTTTAATGTGGAGGAGTTTTGCTGTTCTTGTGACTATGACTTTATCTACATCAATAGCTGCAAGAGAAGGTTCTATTCCCATGGCTGCTTATCAGATCTGTTTAGAAGTTTGGTTGGCTCTTTCTTTGCTTACTGATGCTTTAGCACTTGCAGGACAGGTAACCTTAAAAATCTAACCTAGTACAAGGTTAAGGTTGTTGTTGTTCTGTTTTGTCCTGTAGCTGTCTGATTATGTTGTTTTGTAGGCGATTCTTGCAAGTAGTTATTCACAAAAGGACTATGGTGAATCACGCAGAGTAATAGAAAGAGTTCTTAAGGTTAAGGATACATAAATATATTATTATTATTATTATTCGGTTTTTTGGTTTTTAATTTAAGTTACAAAGCTTATATTGCTAGTAAAATAATCCAAATTTTTGTTTTTTGATTAGATTGGATTAATATCTGGAGGTAGTTTGGCTTTTGTGTTGTTCTTAGGGTTTGGACAATTGTCTTCCTTATTTACCACAGACTCACAAGTTCTAAATATTGCAAGATCTGGTACCTTGGTAAGAATTAAGAAACATTTGTTTTCATATCCAAGGACATTTTAGTAATTTTGCTTTCGTTAAAAAAATTATAATGTAGTTTGTAGCTGCATCTCAACCGATGAATGCTATAGCATTTGTTCTTGATGGGTTATACTATGGAGTTTTGGATTTTGGATATGCTTCATATTCCATGGTGTGTTTTCTATTTTTATACAATTATCTTTAAAAAAAATTAAAAAAAGAAAAAGGATTTTTATTTGGGTGTTTGATGTGTAATTTGAAGGTGGTGATTGGATTAGGAACTTGTTTGTTCTTTCTTCTTGTTGTTCCTCAATTTGGTCTTCCTGGAGTTTGGACAGGATTGTTTTTATTTATGACATTACGTGTAGTGGCTGGAATATTGAGGTAATAATAGTTTTGACATTTTATTAATCAATAAAAAATAAAAATATTCAATTATTTTTAGTTGATATATGTTACTTGTTAGGTTAGGAACAAAGAAAGGACCATGGAAACTTGTTTACTCTCAAACCAATCAAGATCAAGATCAAGTTAACCGATGATGATGATGATGAGTTAGTTATGTTGCCATAAATGGTTTTTTGCAACAATCATATGATTATGAAGGAAATAATTGGGGTTTTCGGATACAAAAAAAAAATGTATTTGAAGCGACCTTTCAAGAACACAAGTTGAGAACACGAAGGGGGACCTTTAAAGAACACGAAATATAAAGGATATATGGCCGAATGGATCGATAAACGAAAGTATACATCTAAAAACGATGTTTAGGTAACAATGGATAACAAGAGGGAAGAAAGTATTGTTAACTCAAAATGAAACTCCTTTTTTACATGTATATATATTGTAGAGTTTTCGTATGTAATAAATGTTGATTATCATATTTGTTACGTAATTTATTCCAAAAGCATCGTTATATCTGGTTTGATTATTTGCATCATATTCTCGAGATTCACTTTTTCAATTGTGACGAATTTTTTCAATAACTAAATCATTGGCTCTAACACAACAAGGTGCTTAAGGTTGCATTTGTTACCTTTGTTGACCTTAGGGAATTGTAATTTTTATCTTATATTGATATCAGTTTAAATCAAATACATGTTAAATCTGATTTGTCATGTCTTGTATAACAAATATGATTCATCAAGTAACCCATTGGTTCTAACACAAACCATGGTCCTTGACACAATGGGAGACTAGTCAAGTGTTCTAGAGCCATTTTAACAACGAGAAAGAGAAAGGTGTTCCTATCTTTTGCACAAAGGAGAAATTGAATGCAAATCTCTATCCCACCTTGTTGCATCTTTTAAGGTGATAGGAATATTGTGATTTTGGTCTTAGGTTGATATCACAAATGGATAAAAAAAAAAACTATCTAAAGACAAGTTCCTATTATAATTGCTCAAAAAATCTTCATACTCACCTATAGATTGAAATGTTAACATCATAGATACTAGACATACTATTCAAATTGTTCAAAAAAGATACTAGAGCAC